AATGGCAGTGAATCTAGGACAAAACAGCCAAGAATACAAAATGGAGAAAGAAAAGTCCTTATAAGATGGTGCTAGGAAAGCTGGATAGCCCTATGCAAAAGAATGAAACTAGATCACTAGTTCACACAATGCACAAAAATTACATCAGAATGAGTTAAAGACTAATACCTGGAACTAAGAAATACATATAAGGTAACACAGGCAAAACACTTCATAACACTGGCTTCAGGAATGTCTCTGAGGACTTGATTTCAGTGACAAAGAAAACAACAGCAAACATGGGCTACATGAAACTGAAACTTTTCTGCACAGCAAAAACAACCTAACCGACCAGTGACAGATGAGTGGATTAAGCTGTGGTTTATATAAACAATGGAATACTACTCAGCTATAAAAATGACATTTACCATATTGTTTAGGAATGCAAGTTTGAAAAAAAAAAACTACAACATGAAATGTTGCCAGTTTGCCACTACATGGAATTCTGGAAGGTATTTCACTGCTAACTGAAATGAGCCAGTAGGAGAAAGTCATATTTTGAGATTTTACTCATATGTAGGATAGAAACACAACACTTGAACAGACAAAAATAAACAAAACAAACCCTAGGAATCTGATTGTAGAATTCAGGCTACCAAAGGAGACTTGATCAGGTTGGTAAATCCCAAGTTCTCTGTCTGTATCAGAAGTCATAGGGATCTGTGAAGTATAGTTGTTTGGATTTTATGTTGGGAAAGTGGACACTACACAAATAACAATGTCTGGGTGGATTCAATGATTTTGGGCAATCACATGCTTCCATGTTCCACTGGAGGTGTATACTTTATCTCAGGTGGATAGTTTTACCTGATAATTTATATGAAACTTATGAAGGTCCCTGATTCTGTTTGCACTACACATAACAAAGAAGGGAGGCATAAGATTAGGGAGCACAATTTTTTTTTGCTCTTCTAGAGAGCAACCGATACAGTCACTTAACTTTTACTAAACACCTACTCTATGAGCATTGTGCTTAGTGCTCCAGAACACACAGGTAACTGGGAGATTTTTTTTCTTTTTCCATCATGCTACTCTTTTTTTCTTTTGACAGCTCATCACCTATGTGTCTCACTCTCATCCCTCTCATCTATGTTAAACACCAGTCTATTCCCTGTCTCCACAAGTTTAATTATTGGTGGTGTTTTTGAAGTCACATTTATTGATAGCATTGGTTTCAAGTGCATAGATTTAAAATCAGCCTCTGTAGACACTGCATTGTGTTTTCAAGAAGTCTATGTTTAGAGTCCAGCAAGATAGCAGCAGAGTGAAGAGCATGCTGGGTAGCCTTTTTACATCCCCCACCCCCGCCATACACACATTCCACCCCCACCCTCACCCCACAAAAGTGATACCAAACAAAGCTGAAAACCAGTGGAAGAGATACTCATTATTGGTGTCTACAATAGGAGAATCAACCTGACTGAAGGGGGTGGGAAAAACTCTAAGTGAACTTTGTTAAAAGTAATGATGGGCAGTGGATCTCCCAAGAAGGGGGAGTGGCTATGGCTCAGAGCCCCTCTAGCTACTGACTTGGTCACAGCTGATAATGGGGCTCCCATGATGTGGTGGGGCCTGGTAATTGGTGCAGGAGCAAGCACTGAGGTTGGAGGTACATTTTGGAGAGCTATAGAGGCAAGGTCACAGAGAGGACGGCTGGTTTGAAACAGGCTCATCGCATGGATCAGCATCAGGTCAGAGTCACCTGGACTTCCCTAGAGGAGAGGCTGCTGTTGAAGTCCAGGCTGAGACAGCGGAAACATCTGTCCCAACTCACCCCAAGCCCTAGGCTGACACATCCAAACACCTGCACCCCCTATCTAACTGTGATGCCTTGGAAACTTTCCAACCTATGATAGCATGTACCTTGGTAGTAATTCACAAAAACACCTTAATTTTGGCATGTTTTAGGTGGAAACTTTCCTAAATTAAAAAAAGTTGTTTAGTTTAAGACATTAATTTTTCCTTAAAAGATTTCAAATAAAACCCAAATCCCTTATTAAACTCTGTATTTCCTGAAGACAGTGGTTCCCATTCATGTCTTCAACTACAGCATATTCTCGTCTCTTCTTTTTTATTACTTCTATGTATACTGAACTTTATGTGTCTTAAATTCTTTTCAATCCTGAGCTCCTGCACAAACCAGTGCTTCCAATAAGAGCAACTTCCTGCCCTTTGGACCATAGCTTCAACTTCTCCTTTTAAGAAAGGCCTTGATAGTGCACAGAATTTCCCCTCTTATTTTCTATTTGCATACTTTGGTTCTTTTTTCTCCCCCTTATTAGTGCTGAAATTGCTGTCAATTAATTTGTTTCCCTTGTCTGACTCTATTAAGAGAATATAAGGTCAGTGCAGTGGGGCATTTTGAATGATTTTTATGAATTTTTTATGTGTCCTAGTGTGTACCACACTTCTTGGCTTTATGTAAATACTCTAGATTTTATAATTGCATAAAATTATTATATATAAACGGGTGATAAAAATTTTAGCATACATAACCACACTCTAAGACAAAGTAAATTATTAAATTAAATGAAGAAAAACTTGCAATGGTAAGTAAGGAAATACATGATAAACCACCCTTCCCTGGAAGCAATTGTCACTTGGATGATGTTTTATTCTTGACTGCTGCCATCTCATTATGGTTCTACAGCTTTATGATTGGCATATTACAGCTTTCTGACCCTAATTACCTAATTTGGTCCAGTAATATCTTTATATATAGACGTGCTTTTAAAATTTTGTGGAAAATCCCAGTGAATTTAATTAAATAAGAATCAATGTTGGACGTATTCCAATTTCAGGACTCAGTGATTCATGTGGTTGTGAGAGATAAAACATCTGTGATCTTTGCTTTCTCTGAGAGAGGATGCTGTTCTCTTAAGAAGTGATATGCATTTTCAGATGCTCCTTCCTTAGGGTTAAAGCAAGATAAAAAAAAAACAGCATAAAAACAGCTCTCAAAATTTCAAGTCAACTGGTTTGGCTATCCCAACACTCTGGAATGAGAAGGGCTAAATAATTGAGTGGCATATTTTCATATTTTTCTATTTTGAAGTTTCTTGGAGAGAAGATACTGGAGAAAAATTTTCCTGGGAAATTATTCCATGTTGTTTCCTTTGTAAAGATATGATTTGCTTGCCTTTGTGATAAAATGGACTAATGATAAACCTTATAGTCTGAGTACATCTTGGAATTTCTTTTAAGTAATCTTCAGTGCAAATAAAAACAATCTTCTGCATCACCAGAGACTTGGGTAGAGAAGCAGAGAGAAGTTAGATAGACCCTCAACTAATAATGCAGCTCTGTGTTTGTGAGTGAGTTAAAAAGCCTCCTTCAGCTTGTGATCAAATCTCCTAAAGGTAAGACTAAAGTAAATTGTGGGAAGCAGGCTTTGAAATTGTGTGAATTATGTGAAAAGTGAAATAACTGAAATAAATCAAACTGAGATTTCAATACTAGCTTTGCTACTTAAAAAGATGAGACATTAAAAGTGAAGTAGGTATGCTGAGCCTCAGTTTCTTCATCTATGAAATGGGATTATTGTTCTGCTTACTGTAAATATGAATGTGATACAATTATTGAAGCCCACTGTAGGAGTTGGAGCAAAGGAGTGTGATAATCAGAATAAGATTTAAAACACATTATTTGTGTTGCTGGAGAACAAATTGTTAGAAATCAGAATAAAGGTAGAAAGACTTGACAGGAAGCTACTGCATTGTATCCAAAAGGAAGTGGGGGTGGGGAGGCAGGGAAATAATGAAATTTGTGATAGATTTCAAAAGAGTTTGTGGGACTTGTTAGTGGTATCAAAGAGCAACATAAGTGCAATAAAGGTCTGAAGGACATGGGGAACACCTGTGTTTATTGTGCAAAGTTTACATTTTTGGTTTTATAAACATTAATTTGATAGAAAAACTGGAGCTATTGCATATATACATTTGAGACTAGGACAGAGGAGCTAGAGTGACAAAATTGGAGCATCTCAGCATTTATTGGTCACCAAGAGCAGGACTGTCCAAAGAAAGACCCTAACAGAGGTCTTGATGAGATAGGAGATAGGTCAGGACAGTGATCTTTTATCTGTAATTTTATCTACTCTGAATATGTAAATTGCCTCCACTGAGTCTCCATTTCTACGTGGTCATAAACATATACCTGCTTATGAAATGCCTTGCCCAGCTTCTCCTTTGACCTTTCCTGTAAAACTCAGTTACTGCATTACTTCCTCTGGGAAACCGCAGCTGACTCCAGGTTGGTTTAGTGCTACACTGTGTCCATCAGCACTGTGTGAATTTTCCCCTGGTGTTATTCTTTGTTTTTTAATTTTTTGGGCATGATTTTTTAATTTGAGTCATATTGTATAATAACATAGAAGCTTCGGGTACACATTATTGAAAATCAGCATATGAATATACATTAAATTCACCACCAATACTACATCCTTCCCCAACCCATCCTTCCCTTTTACTCTGCTTCCTCACCTCCTTCCCAGTTCCCTCTGTTACCCAACTGCAGTGGGTCCAATAGTCTAAATGCTTTTTAATTTACTTAGTCCATCCATTTGTTTTCGATATATATAAAACACATGATTATAAATGTTTTTCTTTCTCTTTTTATTTTGCAAGAAAAAAATTCTAGTTTTATTCATGTTGATCCAAATAGCAGGATTTCATCCTTCCATAACTGAATAGTTCCTTGAATATGTTTATAATGTCCTTTATTTTCATTGGTTTGTAATTGACTCGTGTCATACTCGATGTCTCTGAGGATAGATAACTATGTCTTATTCTACTTGGTTATGTTGGTGACATGCTTGTAACACATTTGACGCAAATGGAGGCACCATACATATTCTGTTTATTTGAATGACTAAGAAAAAGATTAAAGGTGCAGTGCATTTCAAAATTCCCTCATTTTATAGGTCAACTTCTAATCTGTGAAATCAGTATCTGGAAGGCTAGATGGAATCAAGGAGCAATGTGACTTACTTTGTCCTCCTGGGCCTCACACAGAATCCAAAGGAGCAGAAGGTTCTTTTTGTTGTGTTCTTGCTCTTCTACATTTTGACCATGGTGGGCAATGTGCTCATTGTGGTGACTATCACTTTCAGTAAGACTCTGGTCACACCGATGTACTTTTTCCTTGCTACCTTATCATTTATGGATGCCACTTTTTCCTCTGTCATTACTCCTAGGTTGATTACAGATTTGTTCTTTGGCATAAACACCATATCCTTCCAATCCTGTATGATCCAACTCTTTACAGAACATTTTTTTGGTGGCTCAGAGATCTTTCTTCTGTTGGCCATGGCCTTTGACCGCTACGTGGCCATCTGCAAACCCTTGCATTACTTGGTTATCATGAGGCAAAGTGTGTGTGTGGTACTGCTGATAGTTTCCTGGGTGGGAGGGTTTCTGCACTCGGTAGTTCAACTGAGCACTGTTTATGGACTCCCATTCTGTGGCCCCAATGTCATTGATCACTTTATCTGTGACATGTACCCCTTATTGAAACTCGTCTGCACCGACACCTATGTCATTGGCATCTTAGTGGTGGCCAATGGGGGACTGATCTGCACTGTTGTGTTTCTGCTCTTGCTCATCTCTTATGTTGTCATTTTACACTCCCTCAAGAACCTGAGTCAGGAAGGCAGGCGGAAAGCCCTCCAGACGTGCGGTTCCCACATCACTGTGGTTGTCTTCTTCTTTGTCCCCTGCATTTTCATGTATGCCAGACCTCTGAAGACTTTCCCCATTGATAAATCATTGAGTTTGTTCTATACAGTGATAACTCCCATGCTGAACCCACTAATCTACACTCTGAGAAATTCAGAGATGACAAATGCGATGAAGAAGCTCTGGAGAGGAAAAGCTGTATCTGGTAATCACTAAGTTGGACATTCATTGTAAAGATAATTGGTAGACATTAGGACCAATCTTATAGGTATGCCAAAATTATCTTAAGTATGATGCAAATTTTCTTTTCTGCAAAAGATTTATGTTAATTATAACTAAAAAACGAACTCTAAGACTGTGCTAGTAATATTTTTCCAGGTAGAATGTAAGCTACATAGTGTCATACATCTCTCTACCTACAATGATGAAATGACTATAATTAGAGAATCAATGAATAATCTGTAATGAATTAGTTAATGACATTTTTATGATGTTATGCTAATTTTAGTTTCTCCATATAGTTTTTCAATAAATCTTAGCCATGAAATCATACAATCTTGAATGTGATGTTTTATTATTTTGGATATTTGTTTGGTTATGGTGTATTATTGACTAGTTTCTAAAACTCTTGTAAAGATCTTAATTTGCTTGCTTTTCCACTGTTTCTATTGGGGAAATTAGGATTAGCTGGGGTCATACATAACTGCCATCTTTTTCTGGAGCAATTTTATTATATATATATGTATTTACATTATTCTTTATTTTGTACATTTTTTTCATCTCAATTGTAATCCCCATGAACTTCCCACCACCACTTCACCTACAAATGATTTCCTGGGACATATCCTTTATAGTTATGGGAATTGTGAAATGCTTGAGTTTTCATAAGTCATGTAGCACACTACAAAATCAAAAGATTTGGGTGTATAGGAAAGTTCTTGCTCTATATCCTCCATCATCTATTTTTTGCACCATTACAGTATTTTTTCAAAAGCATAAAATGTTAACTTCCAGTGGGCTCAGACTTGGGCTGATAATCCTGTTTGAAATAGCAATAGTCCTCCTGCTGGCCTGAGATCTCTGTGGATCTTGTCTTGCCTTCTTAGGTGAAAGAGATATCTTCTTGTGTGACCAAATTCTGGTTCACATATTTTTTTCCCATGAAGTTCACATAGCTGTGAATTTTTTCTGCCTCTGGAAGTCCTGAAAGCAGCCAAGTTTCATTCATAGAGGAGGCATTTGAGACTCTGGTGTTGACTGGATCAGGATTGTGGTCTCAGTCACTCGCTGAAGAATAGTTCATGCACATTATACCGGTTTTTGCTTGTATTGATACTAGAATATTATTTACTATATTATAAAACTATATCATAATATATATTCTCTATAGACATGTAGTACACATAGTATATAAATATGGAATGCATAGATATAATTATTACTTATTTCATGTGATTATTTCAAGCCTTGAATGAGATAATGTGTATAAAGTGTCCAGGATAATGTCTGGTGCTCAGTTGGTTCTTAATTAACATCCCTGTCTTTGTTGCTTTCTTCATTTGTGTTCAATTTGTCTTACCCTTTGAAATGTATGATTTATACATATGATTCAACTTGATGTAGATATTATATTAGAGACCATGAGGAATTTTCAGAAATCCAAGAGAAAACAAAACAAAATTACTATTAAGATAAATGTTATTAATGCTGAATTATTAACTTTAAACATGTGGATGTCACCTGCATTAAGTTAGGATAAAGGAAACATTATAATTAATGAACTTTTAATGACTAAATAAGAATGCATTGACGATATAACGTATGCTCTAGATGTGGCAGATGCTATACAGCACTGCTTTGTTTAGTCCAAGCTCTAGGACATTGCTACAATTATTCCTGTCTTCTAGAATAACTAACTGGAGTCTGGGAAATGGAAGTAACAAGTTCAAAGAGTTGTCAAATTTGATTTGAACCTATGTAGTTTTGTTCCAGAACTTTAACTCTAAAATTACTATGGGAAATGTCATATTCCTGATACATACATATGTAAACATGTTCTAGTGGTGGGGCATAACCAACAAATAAGTAAATACACATAAAAAGAGCAAATAAATAAAAAGAGCAAATAAAGAGCTTAAGATAATAAGGAGGTGATGTGATAGTGTCTCAGAATGGAGGAAGCCACTTTAGATGAGGTGTTCAAAAAAATAAACCAAAAGCAAAAATTTAGAGCATTTATTAAACTATGTACAATGAATGAGGAATATTGAGCAAAAGTTCATGAGGAACACCACTAAGATGAGTTTCTGTACATGGAAGGGGAATTTTACCTGACATGGTTACATATACTAACCACTCTCTTTTCTTCTGACTCAAAGATCATCAAGGAATCTTAACCCTATGCCATTAATTCAGCTCTAATTAAAATCTGGATGAAGCTAAAGGGAACATAATACATTCTACACATGCACACATATATCTGTATACATCTATATATGTGTTCATGTCTGTATACATCTATATATGTGTTCATGTATACACATATGTGTCACACATATACATTTGTTAAAGTAAATATTACTTCCAGATGTTGAGCTTACATAGCTTGTAGAACACAAGTGATGTAACTAAATTTTTAACGAAAGTATAATTGTTTTTGACAATTGATAAAACTATGCACAATTTTTCCCTCTTCAAAAATGGAGGAACAAATACTATATCTATCCTCCTGTCCAAAACAACCAAACACACCAGAAAAAAAATGAAATCATGGTTTTCAAGACTCTAGACATTCAAGACTGTTGACAATGATGAGAGATTGGTCACTAACAAATTGGACCCTAGGATTGTTACCATTCATTGTCTTTACAGTGTGTCTGTGGTGTGGTACAGAAAGTGGAGCCTAGGAAGATCTAGGGGTACTCCCTGAATTGAGGAGATGAAATTCAGAATTGGAGGGTCCAAAGCAGCTAGGATTCTGAGAATTAACACTGAAATATACTGGAGAGGGGGTGTATTGGGAGAAGGATTGAGAGAAAGGAACAGGAGTGGGGAAGGGAGGAGGGGAGAGGAAGAGGAGAAATGGGAAAAAAATTGGTTGGGGGAGAGAGAATGCTGAACTGCAGAGGACTTCCCTCAATTATCTATCAGAGTGAATACATTGGAGGATGTTACATGAGACTGGGTATACTATATGGCATAAGAAATGGATATGGCCACTGCTCACACTGAGCCAGGAATGGTACCCATTTTCATCAGTTGGAAAACCTCACAGTTCACAGGTAACGAAGGACAGTGCATTGAAGACTTAGGAAGGTCTTGACTCAGTAGTGGGTATAATTAACTCAAGAATGAGCATTGCTTCAGATAGAAAGAATAGAAATCAGATACAAGATAGAAACATTCAAAATCAAACTATTTTCAAGCTACTCATTTACTTCTCAAAAGAAAAGTCAAGCATATTCATCACAATACAGAATACCCAGTACTTAACCATCATGAAATCTCAATGTCTGGCATCCAATTCATGGTTAAGTCTTAAAAGAAGCAGAAAATCATGAATCATGCCCTCGGTAAGGGAAACAATAAACTGACATCAATTCAGAACTTACACAAATAGCAGTAACAGAGAGGGTACTAGAAAAGAAATTATTTTAGTGTCCATGTGTTGAGAATTAATAGATACATGGAGGAGAAAGTAGTCCCGAACTGAACTTCTAAAGAGATAAAAGCTACAATATTTGAACTAAAAGTGATAGATAAAACTAGTAGCAGATTAGACATCAAAGAATAAAAGATTATGAAGAAGACAAGCAAATTATCCAAAATAAAATTCAACAAACATATTAAAAAGGAAATTACCTCCATGGATTTTGAAACAATTTCATGTGCCCAATGTATGTATAATTGGGATACCTGAAAGTAAGGAAAGTGATAAAGGGTAGAAAAATAATTTGAAGTGAAAATCAATGCAGTATCTCTAAAGTTGATGACATCTGTGTAAATGCAGACCTAAGAGGCTTAATGAAGCTCAAAAACAATAAACATAGCTACAAAGGCATATCACAATCAAAATAAATACAGTAAAATATGTATGAAGGAAAAATTAGGATGATATAAACTTTATTATGGAAAATGGTATATCCAAGAAATAGAAGCACTGTTTTTATTGTATTTAAAGAAAACATAGTTAAATTACTATTCTGTGCAAGGCAAAAACACCTTTCACAAACAAACATGAAATAACATACTTTTAGGACACATAAAAGCCAAAAGAATGCACCAATATTATATTCTCATATAAAACATAAAAGGAAATCCTTTAGAATGAAATGACCTTGATTGGAAATATGCAAATGACATGAATTAATATGGAATATTAAAAAATAATTTCTTAATTTTTTTTAACAACCTTGTTAAACACTAAGATTTCTCCCTTCAGATTTCTCCACCACCAACAAGCACACAGATCTCCTCCACACTCCACCTCACTTTCCTTCCCCTTATCCCTTCTCTATTCTCTACCTGCCATTCTCTTCCTTCCACTATCCCTGAATGTTTCAGATCTACACCCACTTGTTTGTAGATTCCACTTACAAGTGAAACCATCAAGAATTTATCATCTCTTAAACAATACATAATATGGCCCATCCTGGTGGTGCAGTGGGTTAAAGCACAGCACTAAGATGCTAAAGCTACTTCAGTATGAGTTCGATCCCCAGTGATGACCATATCTTCATTCTTAATCCTGTTTCAATTTCTATGAAAATTTGTTAAAAATATTTCATTGATATTTTATTTGTAATTCATGGGTAATTTAGAATTTTATGACTTAATTTAGGATAACTAGGTTTTGTTTAGATATGTTTTGTTATTACTAGTGAGTTGAATTCTATTATCAGATATATATTTTGATTCAAGTTTCTTTTTTAAAAAATGATTTATTTATACATACAGAACTGGGGTACAGGCTGGAGATGCAGGGGCAGTGAGAGGATTCACCAGAGACGGAGTGGGAAGCAGAACAGGCAGATCAAAGAAGTACACTGCTGAGGGGAGCAGTGGGCTGGTCAGGGGAGAGGTCTGCTGTGCCATGTGGGTCACCTCTGGGACCAGGGTTCGAACTGTTGTGGAAGCGGCTGTGGCCAGCTTGCAGAACTGCATCCTAACCCATTGTGCCACCAGGGAGGAACCCCAAGTTCTCTCTTTTTTTTTTT